TTTCGCGCAGCTGATTCGACAATACAGGCTTTTCGCCCGAATTAAAAAATATATTACCGTTTCTCGGGGAACAATAGACGTAACGGTTCTCGATACTTGTAACGTTACGATATCCAACGTTAGAGAGGAACATCGATGGTGAAAGAGTCGCGAGAGATCGATAATGTTCCTCTCAAGTGTTTCACTGTCGGCCGGTGTTGAAGCGGAGGGACGGTCATCGAACCGATTTCCCTTTTTCTTCTTCGCTGTCTCTTCGCTGCTATTCTTAAAAGCTAGTTTCCAAAGAGGAAACGGGGCTGCCTTCGTTCCGCCAAATGACAAATCGATACGCCATTACGGCGCTTAAGGGAAACGAACTGGCGGAATTAGGAATGAGTTTGCACGCGTGTCAACTGGAATTTGTTTAGTGTCGACACTAATCTAACAACTGAAATTATAAAACTTCTTTCAAAACTTGGAAAAACTAAGATAATTCCCTTTTTGCTTATAAAATTATTTTATCACAATTTAGAATTTGGCAGACTTTCTGCCAAATTGCGTTAATTGTAGCTTGGACGTTCTAGATTTTTGTAATTAATCCAAAGATAAAGGCGAAATAAATTTTTAAGATTCAAATATCGACCGCGATTTTTCTGAAATTTGCTTTACTGTGATTGAAACTTCTTTCTGTATTTTTTCCTGGATTTTCCTAAATATGAGAACTTAAAATTTCGAAGTAACTTTAAGTTATAGTTGTACTGTTGGATAGCATAAGAATATTTGCGAATAATTGGGGAAAGACTGTCGGAGTTTTGCAGAAAAATAGTAGAAAGGGTGGAGACAATGTTGCGGAAGCGACACGGTCTACGTAAATTGTCACTTGGGTGTTTACCTACGCGAAGTCAGTCTCGCAGCCACGGTGGAAAGTTGAATTCGAGATTCGAGTGGAAAGCTGAGTCTGAATCCAGCCCGGACAATTGTTGAAACAATCACACGTAAGTCCGTTCTGTGACTCGCTAATTTGCATCCATTGTCGACTCTGTCTTGAAAATCCCCCGAATTCTACGAGGAGTTTCAAATGGTCAAGGGAGACCGACCCTTCTTCGCTAAATCCCTTATGTGATAATAGTAAATAAACTCGTGTTATTCGGTTCACTCCAAACGTTAATATTCATCTATTCAGAATTTGGAAGCTTGTCAAGAGAAGTGTATTATTCGAAAAATTGTCAAAAATGAGAACTTGAGAAAAATATAAGTTTTACTGGAATTATGCCAGAAAACGATCGAAAGTGACAACTTGAGAAAAATACTATGATTCTTATTAATATTGTTCGAAAAAATTGTCACAAATGAGAACTTGAGGAAAATATCATTTTTACTGGAATTATGCCAGAAAATGATCGAAAGTGACAACTTGAGAAAAATACTATGACTTTTATTAATATTGTTCGAAAAAATTGTCACAAATGAGAACTTGAGGAAAATATAAGTTTTACTGGAATTATGCCAGAAAATGATCGAAAGTGAGAACTTGAGAAAAATACTATGATTCTTATTAATATTGTTCGAAAAAATTGTCACAAATGAGAACTTGAGAAAAATAGTATAATTTTTATTGGCATGACTCGAAAAAATGGTAAAAAATGTAGGCTCGAGAAAAATAGGTATGATTTTCATTTATACTGCCAAAAACACATTGTCAAAAATGGAAACTTGAGAAAAATTCCACGATTACCCCAATTCCGATCGTAACCACTCGAAAAACAGTCGAAAAATGAGAACTCTCATTGGCGAACGTTGGAATAAACGTCGAGGGGGATGAAAATTACAGCCGAGTCTACTTTAATACCGAACGATACACACGAAGCATAGAAATATCTAACAAATGAATAATGTTCTGTGTAAGGATAAGATACGAGGAGCTTTTGTAAAGAATATGTTCATCGTCATCCACGGTAGATTTCCCAAGAACAAAGCCTGGCCAAAAGTTTCCCGTGGAGAACGCTGTTTCGTCGTTCACGGTTCGAGACCATTTCCAAATTGAAATCGATATCCGTTGCCTCTCGGAAGCTTTTCAACGCGAAGAATTATAGGGTAGCAGATTACTCATACGGAATGAGGACTGATTAGAATTCGAACGATGTGGGTCAACGGAATGTGCACGGTATTATCATCCGTAAGACATATCCGGGAGGAACCTTCGAACTTGACGAGAACATTGCTGACGTTCAATTTAATTAAATTAGAGGGTAGACGGGTGGATGTAAGTGACTGAAAGTGCAAGGAAAAGAGAACTACAGCGATCAAAGTGAAATACAACCGTGAAATTCGGTTTCTAAGTAACGCATAAATATTTCTACCCCAATTTCCCATTTTTCGTTTCCTTTTTCTCTCTAGAAATGAATTTCTCACTTTTTGTTCTTTTCATTTTCTGTGAAATCAACGATTAATTTTAAGCAAGTATTTCTACCCAATTTCCCATTCTTTCTTTCTTTTCCGCTAGGAACGAATTTCCCATTTTTTTTTCTTCTCTCTATGAACGAATTTCTCATTCTTTGTTTTCTATTTTCTGTGAAACCAACGATTAATTTTAAGGAAGCATTTTTACCCAGTTTCTCCCATTTTTTTCTAAGTTCCTGCGAATAGAAGTTACAATTGAAACTCGAAATGAGTACGATAATTTGAACAAGTATTTAAAAAAAGAAGATAGTACATTTAAAACAGTGTTCATAGGTTTCCATTTTAATTCAGTATACAGAAGTACTTTTAACGAGACTATAAAATTATGATGACATAGTTGTGAGCGCACAACCGCTCAGTTACCGACTTACTTCAGGCAAGCACACATATTTAATACCGCAGTGTGCTCAACAGCAAGACCATTATCGTTAATTATTTCGCAAACCATTGAGTGTCTACGCAAACAGTCCAGCATAAATCAAATACTTCTCAACTCCCTACATCCCTATCCCTAAACCTTCATCGAAATGGCAGCATAAATCCTCGTATAATGCTAACTTAACCAACCAGCATTAACGCCTTCATCGTCCAATATTTCACAAACCATTAAACCACTACATCAGTTGTCCTCGAACCAGCACGTTCGCCAATACATATTTCTCTCGTATAACGACATCATTCGATGTTCTTACATAGCGATAGCCGAGGGAACAACCTAATCTCAACGTTACCGACGACGGTGGAGTTATTTCTCAAGCTGCGAGATTTTTTAGCTTTCTATTTTAATATGGATTCATTTTAAAAAATTTCTTTAAATAATAAATAAAACTATCACTGTATGTTCTTTTGAAAGTTCGTTAAAATTACTCTGTGAGGTATTGGTACTTTTTGCAAGTTATGCTGTATCATAGTATCTACGTTTCTTTCAATAATTTGTCAATCACTTTGTAAAAGCTTCTCAAACACTCACAGTACCTAATCTCTAAAAAATTAATTTTCAATTGCACAAATCATCAAATGCAAAAAATTAAAATAAATAGAAATGCGATTCAGGGCAATCTTCGTTATTTCTCAAATGCCCCAAAACAGTTCTAATCTCTATCCTCCACAAAATTTACTCTCACAAATCTTCAAACGCAGAAAATTAAAATAAACAGAAATGCAATTCTCGCAAAACGCGAAACACTCGCAACATCTTGTTAATCCCTTTCTAAATGCTTCCCAAACACTCACTGTACCTAATCTCTAAAACATTAATTTTCAATTGCACAAATCATGAAATGCAGAAAATTAAAATAAGTAGAAATGCAATTCAGAGCAATCTTCGTCACTTTGCAAATGCCCCAAAACACTCACAATCCCTATCCTCCACAAAATTTATTCTCAATTGCATAAATCACCAAACGCAAAGAATTAAAATAAACAAAACACTTCCAATCTCTATCCTCCACAAAATTTACTCTCCCTTCCACAAATCATCGAATAAAGAAAGTTAAAATAAGTAGAAATGCAATTCACAGTAATTTTCGTCATTTCGCAAATGCCCCAAAACACTCACAATCCCTATCCTCCACAAAATTTATTCTCAATTGCATAAATCACCAAACGCAAAGAATTAAAATAAACAAAACACTTCCAATCTCTATCCTCCACAAAATTTACTCTCCCTTCCACAAATCATCGAATAAAGAAAGTTAAAATAAATAGAAATTCAATTCACAGTAATTTTCGTCATTTCGCAAATGCCCCAAAACACTCACAATCCCTATCCTCCACAAAATTTATTCTCAATTGCATAAATCACCAAACGCAAAGAATTAAAATAAACAAAACACTTCCAATCTCTATCCTCCACAAAATTTACTCTCCCTTCCACAAATCATCGAATAAAGAAAGTTAAAATAAGTAGAAATGCAATTCACAGTAATTTTCGTCATTTCGCAAATGCCCCAAAACACTCACAATCCCTATCCTCCACAAAATTTATTCTCAATTGCATAAATCACCAAACGCAAAGAATTAAAATAAACAAAACACTTCCAATCTCTATCCTCCACAAAATTTACTCTCCCTTCCACAAATCATCGAATAAAGAAAGTTAAAATAAGTAGAAATGCAATTCAGAGCAATCTTCGTTACTTTGCAAATGCCCCAAAACACTCAAAATCCCTATCATCCACAAAATTCGCACTCTCTTCCACAAATCACCAAAAAATCAAAACAAACAGAAATGCAACTGCCCCGAAACACTTCCAATCCCCATCCTCCACAAAATCCACTCTTCCGACCACAGATCATCAGTTTACCTCACCCATCGCTTCTCTCCCGAACGAAATTAAACCACACCATCACCCCAACACTCCACCTACCATCTTACGTCGCCAAAACCCATCCCAATACAAAACAGTCAGGTTCCCGATGACTTATAAACGAGCCCTCTAAATCCATCCACCCTTTCTCTCCAACAATTCACTCACAATACCCCGCTCTCTCGTCTCGTTCTCTTCTCAATAATGCACCAGGCGAACGGAGCTTATCGGGAAACCTTCTCCATGTCGCAGGATATACCTCCGACCTTCCATCGGCCCCAGTCCAGACTGGGATACGAGGAGCGTCCCCAATCTCGCGTGGGATATACCTCGGATTCCAGGTGCGCCAGCGGACTTGGCTACGACGACACGGGAGGAAGTTACCTGGACCAGAATGATCCGAGGATGTATTGCACCAGCGGTTACTGTATGGGGGAAACTATGATGGCTGCGAACAGAGGTCTCTGCGGTGAGGAGGTCGAGCTGGACATGCGGAGGCACATCCAGGCGTGTGCCTGCACCTGCAACCACATGGGCTACGGGAACTACATGGACTATCAGGTAAATTAACCTTTTAATTCATTTTCTCTATATCATACCGGACCTCTAGTGAGCGTTATTAGCCGAACGGAATCGATTTCGTTCGAATGGATATGTAACAGCGTGTTCTGGAAATGGTAGTTCGGGTTTAAGATGAGCTAAGATGTTCTGTTGAAACGCTGAGTGCAAAAACTCACAGTGAAAATTTTCACATTTGTGACAAAGCTTTATACAATCTGTGCAAGCACTGAGACACTGCGCTATGGAAGTTTTAGACTGCTCAGTTGAATTACCGAGTGTGGAAACATTAACTGTCGGGGTTTTAGGGGGTGAGTTTTCACATTTGTAGAAAAAGCTTTATACAATCTATGCAAGTACCGAGACACTGCACTTTGGAAGTTTTAGACTGTTCAGTTGAATTACCGAGCGTGGAAACATTAATTGTCACGATTCTAGGGGATGAGCAAAATTAATATAGCACAGAGTGTTTGTAGTGTTTTTTTAATTCTACGATTGCAAGGATATTTGAATGATCTTTGGAGAGATGTTTCTTATTCGTGGTGCATTTCAGTTCACAGACAATTTTATGTAAATGTTTCTTCACAAAATACGCGTGGGGTTTAGGAAGAACGAAGATGTTCTATTAAAACACTGTACTCTGGAAAATTTAATCTCTTCAGTAGAATGTACAGAGTGCGAAAATATTAATTGCCATAATTTTAAGGAGCAAATCTACACATTCATAAAAAAAAAACAATGTATACAAGCAACACAATCAAATGAAGCAAAAGGAAAAATTCGATTTCATCAAATCTCAGAGATAGTTTACAAAGAAGATACTTAAATTCCAACCTTAGGTCAACAGAGAAAACACAGGACCTGTAAAAACCGCGGGTTAACGGCATATTTCGGGCAACGGAAAACCGTTTTCAGCAAGCTGAATAACGTTAGCATCGTGAACGCGATAAAGTTGAGCGCGACATCGCGGATGGCATGTCTATTCAAATATTTTGCCGCTGCGGCGGTCGCTGCACGCTCATCAGAGAGATTATGTCTGGCGGAACGGCTGATGTCATGGGGCGAAATGAAATTAGCGTTCGCGCCTTTGTTTCGGCCAGATTATCGGTCGACGGGAATTAAATTGTTTCCGTGTCCGCGTGCAAGTAGTAGCGTGTTAAATGCGAGAAAGTTGCAACGAATTAAATATGCCGCTCGACCAACTTCCTAGCTCCGTCCCTTTCTCGCCGAGCTTTTCCAACGTTAATCCGATCCGCGAGGCTATATCAAACTCGAGTTTTCGAAATATTAGAAGTCGAGTGATAAATGCGAACGATAAACTAGAGCTTACAGGCAGAACGCCAATTAACCCTTTCACCGCTTTTGGTGCCTACAGGCGCTTTGAAAATTTCCTCGCGCTGTGTCCTTGGTGCCTATAGGCGTTTCGGATATATTCTCACGATGTGCTCTTAGCGACCTTTGGCACATTTTCGCCTCAACTTAATACTTCATTTTCTGCCCTTTGCACACTTCAACCTTAATTCAGTAAAATTTGAAAATTTTCTAGGACTGTGTCCTTGGTGCCTATAGGCGTTTCGAATATATTCTCGCGATGTGCTCTTAGCAACCTTTGGCACATTTTCGCCTCAATTTAATCTCTAATTTTCTGCCCTTTGCACAGTTTAACCTTAATTTAATAGAACGATTTGAAAATTTTCTAGTACTGTCCTTGGTGCCTATAGGCGTTTTGAATATATTCTCGCGCTGCGCTCTTAGCGACCTTTGGCACATTTTCAAACTAATTTAATCCTTAATTTCCTGCCCTTTGAGCATTTCAACCTTAATTTTGTAGAATTATTCGAAAATTTTCTCGCGTTGTGTCCTTGGTGCCTATAGGCGTTTCGAATATATTCTCGCGCTGTGCTCTTAGCGACCTTTGGCACGTTTTCACCCTAATTCCCTGCCCTTTGCGCATTTCTACCTTAATTCAATAAAATGACAAATTTTTGAAATTTAAGTTTTAACATTTCTGAACTTAAATTCTTTTAAAATCGTCAAAGAGACTCGAAGAATTTTCTAAATAAAGCGCAATTTTTTCACTCCTCGCACAGAATCTCTCGACAGCCTACTTCCCTCTGAAACGGTACGCCTACATTTCGATCGAAATTTCGCGGTAGAACGTCGAATCGCTCCATTTATGCCCGGGAACAGCCGCTTTTTGATTGCTTTCCCAACTGTCGAAAGTAAACGTTTTAACGTTAATGGCTCTGGACGATCTGGTTCTTGCATGGGAGAAAGCTGGACGCGGCTCGACGCGGCGGTGCCTGCCTCGACAAACGACGCTTAAGTGTCCAACTTTCAGCGTGTTCGAACTTCATCGAACGGCTGCTTTTAAGTCCTTGACTCTGAAACTGGATCTTGAAGAAACTACGACGTACACTTTGCGAAAATGAGGGACCGAAGACACGCGAATGCCACGGACGCTGACGCGTCGGAATCTTTCAAAAGGATTCGATGCGCTAACCCCTTTTTGCCGCGTAATCGGAGATCTCATTGCCTAATTTCTTATACATCTCGCTAATCACGGTGTAATACTTAGATCTCGAGTATTCATTCGCTGTCAAATATTCTTTGCACAGAAGAATTTTAATACCATATTTTCTTCTGCGCTGGGCCTTTAAACGGACCTTTAAATCGTGATTACTGTTAGATGGTACCATGAATAATAATAGCTCTTATTTTACAGTGATTTCGTTGTAAATTTGACGAAATTAATGCGAGATTTAACAGTGAGATCATAAATTAATACGAATTAACGTAAAATATTCGAAATGATCATAGTTAATTTCTCTATGAATACTTCTATAACTATTTCGACTGTTACACTCAACGATATAAAAGAGAATATTTCACCTGGGGCGAGGTAGCAGTGAAATTCCAACCGTCAAGCACTTTGATTCGAATCAGGTGAAGCTCGACCACAGTACAGTTATAAGTGAACCAAACCACACTTCAATTAAACTAACAAATAGTAACCATAACTAAATTGCCAGAGTCATTCAACAGTTTCCCTTGATTCCATTTGTCAATTCATTAACCCTTTCACTGCAGGTGGAAAAAATTGTTTCGGATATTTGAAGATTCTTCTGTGCCTCGTGCTACTTGCATTTGCTACAGTAGATGCAAAATACACGAGTTTATGTCTCTGTTTTAATCAAACCTTTCATATATTAGACTTAGAAAGGAGTAATTACTGCACTTCATTATAATATCATTATACCTAATCTCTGCTCACTAATCTAATCTAATCTAAGTCACGAAGTTTTCACGTTGGAAGAGTGTTGACTATCGTTTTCATGAAAAAAAAAAAATTAAATTTCGATCCTCGATTTTTCATTTTTCAACGCAAACCATGACACTGTGCGTCAAAATAGACGTGTGAGTGAGAGGTGAAGAGCAAAGAAAGGAGAGAGGGTCGAGGCACCACGTTGTGAGATAAGAGAAATGAAGTCCTTATTTGGTAACACCTGTGATATTTTGACTACGACGAATCGGGGAAAGCGAAATCGAAAGTTTTCTCTTCGTTCAAACCAATTTCATCCAACACAAGTCTCGATACCACCACGTTCAAAAGCGACAATCCCCAAAGAATCCGTTGTCTAACGTCAATTCCAGCGAAGAGACCTCCGAATCGCGAAAGACAAACTCGAAAGTTTCCTTTTCGTTCAAACCAATTTCATCGAATCCCCCAAAAAATCCGCCATCCAACGTCAATCCCACAAAGATCCCCGAATCGCGAGATCCTCGCGTAGGAGCGCGGTTCGTTCCTGCGCCAAGCGAAATGAAATCAAATTCACGGGTAACACACCGTCGTTGCGGCGTCGCGTCGCAAATAAATAAGCAAGGTAGCGTCAGCGGCGGCGGCGGCGGTGGTGGCTCGTCAAATTATTACAGTTCGTGCTCCAATTCTCCGCTACTCTCCGCTCCCTCGCTCTATCTCTCCCCCTAGCCGCGGACCAGCTCGGTTCGGGCCACTATCGCGAGTAATTCATTGCAGTCTGAAAAATTCACAAAGAATTTCTCGTCCGCCACACGGCCCTACGCTTCCTGGCTTCTGGCAGCGTTTTCTTGTCTTTTATATTGGACCCTGAAATTCTTCTGTGAAGTCGAGGGAACACCCGTGGACCACGATAGAATCGAGGGTGGAGAGCAAAAGACGGACAAGGATAAAGAAAAGAAGGATGATGAGGCGGCGGCGGCACTCAGCTTCCGCCGAAAGAAAGGACCCGACGGCGTTATACTTTAAGTCTTTACGATTACGTACTTGCGATAACGTACGAGCCCTCTATGGAACCTCCACAAAAGGCTCGCCTCTCCCCTTCTTACAGACGAGCTATGGTGCACACGTTTGTTACCACCGTACTCTTTCTCTCTCTTCTTTCCTTTCTTCTCTGCCCCTCTTTCTCGCTGGTTGCACGCTTTCGGGAAATTTTGAAGGTTTCCCCGATGTCACGGGAACGTGTCCAACTGCGACGAGAGAAAGATCGATTGTTCTTTTGTCGATCCGGGGAGAATGTACTATGCCGAAGTTTGGACAACCTTTGTCCGGTCTCCGCGGATAGCGGAGAAAAACGAGGGAAGTAACATGTGTTCCTCTTTGTTTCCGGCATTCTTTTAAACAGCTGGAGGTTTCTTGGCGATTTCAGAAGACGATTCAACGTGTGGTTGTAATTGAGAACGCTTACAGGGATACAGCACAGCGAGGCTTAGGAAAATAGGCAAAATTGTGGGAACTTTTTTGAGAGGCGATTGCTGGAGGAAAAGTTTCTGTTCTTTTTTTTAAGGGATGTAAATGTGAATTTCTACTTTTCTCTACGATTTTTGAATAGTAAGAGTGGTACGAAATGGAGGAGTTACGAAAAGAATGAACGAAGTAAATTGTCTATTCTAGTTCTTATTGAATCTGGTTTACACACTTCCATCTTACTTTAAAAATACAAATTTTTACTAACTTCTGTCTTAAC